CACAGAGCTGTGCGAGAGCTTGGCTACTGCATTTGTGGGTGAGGAGCCTTGGGAATTTGGTGCAAGTGGCAGCAGTGTCCTCTCCCTCTCCAGTATTGGATGGCAGCTCTCTGGAGCATCGGGAAACTGTTTAATCAGTTATCCTTTTGATAACCATGGTGCACGTGCCTATTGGAGCAGCAGTAATATTTGGCAGTACTAGCAAAGCCTTTCTGTTGCTTCAGGCCTGAGGAATACTTACACTTTTCTAAATTACAATTTTTTAAAAAGTATTTGTGCTGCTTCGCAGCTTTTCTGCTCTCTAGCTGCAACATCAGAAACAGAACTAGCCACAGGTTTTAAGTGAAAGGTTTGCCTTTTCCAAGGGAAATCACTTTTCATTTCAATCGTAGTCAAATTTTGGAAATGTTTTTCCTTGTGATTTGGGATGAAACAGCAACAAAAATCCTGTTTGGCCAGCTCCAATAGCAAGTGCAAAAATAGAGCTGTTAACATGATACATAGCAGCATTGATAGCAACAACCATTTCCTTTTTGTGTAATATTACAAGAAACCCAACACTGAAAATGTTTTGAATGAACTGACACTTTTTTACACTTCGTTACACTTTTTACATATGAGGTCATTCTACTTTTTTCCTTTAAGGCAGAAAAATATTGTTTCCTGAGGTGACAATGGACATAATCAAGTTCTCTAGAGTTTTGCCAGAGCTGGTAAGGAGCCCAGATCACTGATAGCAGAAGTCTTGGCTTTTTAACCACACTCATTGAATCGGAGCACAAAACATGCTGATTGTGCTCTTTTAACCATTAGCAACATGTCCTTTCAGAGTCGGATATAAAAAACCAGGATCTTTCATGGGGAGGAGGACGGTTGGGGGTTGTCACTTAACTTCATCTCTGGTAGCAGTAATCTGTGTTTATTCGTTCAGAGTTTCTGGTTTCCAGAACTGCTGATGACCAGTATATTGAGGCAGTGTAGCTTGTGTGAGACAAGCTGCGTGCAGCTGGGCTGGAAGAAGCCTTGGAGAAGGTGGTGACTTGATACCACGCTGTGGAGACTCAGCGGGCTTAAAGCTCCTGCATTTCATGTTTCTGTGTTGGGTTTGGTGGAAGGAAGCTTATGCTGAGATAATTACACTGTGATGGTTGAATATCATCTTTGTTCCTCGTGGATCATACAATAAATAACTTTATTGTATCTTTGTACTCCTTGGTATCTGTATTATCGGTTTCCATAAAATTTATGTTGAATTGTAGAGAGAGGCTAATTATTTTTTGTTGTTGTTTTGCAAGAAGCCCTTCTTCTGTTCCTTAGATGCTTCTTGCCAAGGCATGATTCTTTTTCTTAAATTAGCAAAATGCAATGCAATTAAAAATTACTTTGCATATGTGTGGGGATGTTCAGGAAAATATTGGGGCTCTTGTACCATGTGCTTGAATGTAATATTTAAACCTGTCATAGCTAGTCCAGCTCTTCTCATACAATGTTTTCTGAGCGCTGCCATTCAAAAAAAATTAAAATAAATGAATATTAAACTAACAGTTATAATATTTGCATATTTCAGTTTTACACAGTGGAGCAAAAGCAGTTTAAAACTTTGGGGTTATTCTGCAATATCGAGATGACCACAGCTATCTGGAACGCTTTTACAGCAATTTTGTATGTCACACAACTATATCGTTGTGTTTGCTTGATTCTTTTAAAAAAAGCTTTCATACTTGCCTTGGTTCTCATAAATACTTTGCATTATTTTCTGACAAAAATCAGTACTTTTATCTCATCAGTTAGTTGATCCAGTCTAACGTCAAAGCCGCACATCTCGGTTACTGAAGGCACAATACAGTGCGTTGGCAAACATGTTGGAACAATTTCCAGTAATTTTGGCTAAGTCTTAGAGGAAGTGGGAAGTCATACAGATTAACTCAAAAGGCTACACATTCCCTTAGATGATCTGGAAAATAAGACTTAACACCAGAAGGTAATTGCAGTGGGCATCCAATAGCAAAACTTGAAATGTAATGTTCTTTTTCCCTCTTGTAGTAAGAAAATTTATGTTCTGTATTTATTAGCCTCAACTGCAAAACCTCTTATTCTAAACAAGCTCGTGTATCACAGCAGAGAAATAAAATTCTCTTCATGTTGCACAAATACTATTTGGTCTCACTAATTGGTATCCCATTCCCCCCCCCCCCCCCCCCCCCCCCCCCACAGTCACAATATTATTCTCTCCTCTATACCCCCCCCCCCATCTTCAGAGTTAATAAAATTTCAGTCTCCATGATAATATCTTGGAAGTAGCTCAGGGAGGGCAACTTATTTACATTAATTGGAGGAATAACAAATTTTAGCTGTAGAGAATCTGGAGGGTGGAGCCAGCACTTGTTTATGGAGCTTGGCTTTCCTGCGTCCCCCCAGTGATTCCCAGTAGTCACAGCCTGCCTTGTTTTCCCTTGAGCAGGGGCCTGTTATCGTGTCTCACTCTGTAGCCTGTGAGAAAGCTGAGGCCGGGCTGCCTTGCGTAGGCTTCGCCTGGCCGTGTGAACAGATTACAGCATTCCACTTGCTAGTACGAGCCACGGAGCAGAAATGTTTTACTATTATGTTACTGGGCAATGATAAAGTTGGCAGTCTTTTTATGGTTAGGTCCTCAAAGTGGCAGTTCGTGTTTTAGCGATAAGGAGACAGAGCTTTGGATATCAGACCCAGACTTCTTATCTGTAACAGTGAACTGTGGCTTAAATCCTTCCACAATGACAGGAACCCCATCTGGAGTGAAGGTTTCCAGAATCTTAAACGGGAGATACTGAGGCATTTTCCTTCCTCATGAGTCAAAGCAGAGTTAACCCCATTGTTATCAAACATAAAAATAACCGGTCGCCAGGAGGAAGGATGCATTTTTATATTTAACTAAATCTCTTCCTCTGTGTTAGAACTTTAAGTATAATTTTCAGACAGATCCGGGAGGATGAATTGGCAGCGTTATACTAAAAAGCTTTCACTTGATTGTTTTAGAATATTGAAAGGAGCGTTAGTGAAACTCCCATGCTGCAATATTTAAGATTGCTCTAATATTTTTCTCAAAGTTGGTGAACTAGACAGTATGTGTATTTCTTGCAAGATCTTTCTCTGTAGTGTCTAAATACAGCTTCTAGTCGTGTCTTGGGCACTGCGTATGCATGTTGACGCTGAGCACCACGTAAAGATACATTTGGATTCTATTTACAGAATTCTGTGGGTTGCAGGGGTTAAGTGTGATCCAGATTATACAGTGTTAACATTTTCCCTCCTGATACCGAAGTGTAGACGACTGGCAGGCTGACTTGTTAGGAAGGGCCGGGAGAGAGGGATAAGAGGCTCCGACCTTGAGAGGCCGACCAGCCGGCCCTTGTATGGCCAAGTCCCTATACGTGCCCAGCTGATTGGTTCGGGGAGCAGGATCAGTGCCGTGACAGGTGTTGGAGGAAGCTACACCTGTTTTCCCCATATGCTGATTTAGTGATTACATTTTTGTGGGAGTTCCAGATACTGTGTGGGATACGCGGAGCAAGCCAAGAAACTTGAGAAGGAATTATAGCTTATGGTGACCTGTGGTATTAAAGAATTTCAGGCGGCGTAATTGAATTTTCAAGTACTGCTTTAAAACCAAAGTAGAAATAGTCAATGTTTTGCATGTATATGAATAGTGAGAGTCTTGTGTACTTTTTATTGTACTAAAAATTAGTAGATAGCACTAAGAAAAAATGCTAATGAATAGTCTAAACTAAAACATAGTTTGGTTTTTTTGTCAGAAACTCAGTGTGTTATGGAAACATCTAGCTTCTATAGGAAAACAAATGCAATTTCTTTATGGTGCTGAGAATGTCAGCGTGCAGATTTAAAATCTTTAGGGTTTTTACTGTAAAATTCATAGAGTATTAAACTTCTCGCAAAAAGAAAACGCACACCTCCCCTCATGCCTGCATAATCCTACTGCTGTCTTAGGTACTGCCAATGTGTACCTTTTTAAAAATTTATATTGCTTTCCTTTTGAAACTTTTAAAAAACATTAAAGATTTTTCCATAGGTAGCATTTTAAATCTTGGTTTGTTATAAATGAGAACTTGCAAAGAAAGGTTTCCGATTGTGTAATAGGGTGAAAACGAAAACCAACAAGAAATACAAATATCTCTTAAAATTTGGTCACGAGACCTATAGTTTCACATCCTTTCTTTCAGTAGCTTATTTGTAATGCCTACATTGTAGACCAGTTTGGGTTTTTTTTCCAGGGGATGCTGATGCGAGTTCTCCATCAGAAAGCAGGAAATCGCCCAATAAAGCAGTTGCATCAAGTTAGTCTAAAGGAGTCTGAAAAAACTTACATTTAGCAAACTAAGTAATTTTAGAGAGGGGTTATGTAATTTCTTTTTATAGTTTTTTGCAGTTCTTGTTATCATGCAGGATGACAGAAGTGCAGGAAAATCCTGCCTTTATAAACTACCGAGACCAAGCGTTACATGTATTAATGTACTGCAGTTGTTGAATTAGATCGAAAATTTTAGCCACTGTGTTTTCAGAGTTTAACTGTATGCTCTTCAAAATGTCAATATTAAAATTGGGATGCTAAAGTCAATTTATTAAAGATCCAGTAAACTGGCTTTTAATTACCAGTGATGACATTAATTCCTTTGCCATGGGCTTGAATGTTCCTCTTATGTCAGGCCACTTTCCTCCATCAGCCAGTATCTAAAAACGGTTTTGCATGGAACACTGGAGAGATGAAGTGGGTGTAGGTTAAAGTTACCCATGAGATGGCACCTGGGAGAGTCTGTGCCTCTGAATGAACCTTTTCTGTTTGTGTACTATGCCGCTGTTTTGAAAGACTAAGCCTGTCTGTTGAACAGTGAGTTTTGTCTGTGACAGTTTCATGTAGTTTCAGTGGCTCTGAATGATTCAGTAGTATACAAAACTTCTTGGCAAGTTAGTATGATTTGTATGTGAATTTTCCAATTGTATTTCAGACCTTAAGAAAGAAAGGCCTTAATGGTTGTGAGAGCCCTGATGCTGACGATTACTTTGAGCACAGTCCACTATCGGAGGACAGATTCAGCAAACTAAATGAAGATAGTGATTTTATTTTCAAGCGAGGCCCTGTAAGTACTTTTATTTTATCTCTACTTTTTATTTGTTGATCCTTTTTATTAACTTCATTATTTAGGCTCTGAACAAGAAGGAACACAGAGGGTGCGACAGCCCGGACCCTGACACTTCATATGTGCTCACGCCACATACAGAAGAAAAATATAAAAAAATTAATGAAGAGTTTGATAATATGATGCGGAATCATAAAATCGCAGTGAGTACTAAAGTATGGTTTGTGCTTCTCTTACATGCATGAGAATTTTCACAGTGTTTGCTTACCACTGAATACTACTGCAAAGACAAGAGGATGTGATGGTTTGAGAACGGAATATATATATTTTTGAGGAAAAATGAGATGCCGATACTTGATCTTGTTAAAATACAGTTTACCTTAAAGAATAAGAAGATTTATCTCTAGCTTCTCTTTTGCACTCACAGTTTTTCATATCTTGTGAACATGAGGTAACATTTCTAAATTTCAGGAGCCTAGCTGTATTGCCTAATCCTACCTAAAATATTTTTATAAAGATAGATTTTGTCGTGGGATGTAGGATAGTTTATTTACATCTTGTAGCTCTTTATCTGTCTGTTGATGAAGATTTTACAATATGTTACAAGCAGGCAAACAGAATTGGATTAATTTTGTTATCAAATCAGTGGAATTTATTTTGCTGAAGACTGGATGTAGAAAGGTACTTGGACATTTAAAGATAAAGACTGGTGCACAATGGGAGCCTCAAAAGATTGGTGTCGTACTCCTGTTGAAATTCTAACAGATACTTCCTTGGACACTGAAAGATCTTTGAAAATTTTGTCGCAAGTGCCTAACCCATTTGCAGCCATAAGTCACTTCACTGCTTTAGAACAATATGATCTATCCTATAGTGTGATCAGAGGATCATTTTTCATGTTAGTGTTATCTAATTCAAAAATGAAATTGTCGTTGTCTGAACCCCATATATTTACTGGGCAGATTATTCATGTTTTCCTCAGTTTCATATATCCACTTCAATTTGGGGGTCTAAGGCAAAAAGAAGATTTAGTGGAGAAGGACACTTGGAAGAGAATTCTTTGGCTCCAGAACTCAAGAAGCTTGGGGATAACAGTAGTGTAAATTCTGCATGTTTTTCATGGAGGTGTACGTGATGGTATTTAGTTTCTATCTACAAAAAATAATTAGTGTTGAGTATTACAGGGGAAGTATTTTCTAAGAAAACTAATACAGGGGTGTGCCTGTATTTGAATTTGAAACATTGAAATATTTGAATTTTTTAACATTGCAAATCTCGTAGCAATTAAAGTAAAGGGACTGGCTAGGTGAATCGGCACTGACCCTGGGGTAATCGAGTAGTATGTCCCCAAATGACTTGCTGATACTAGAAATTATTTCATTGTTCAGAGCAGTAAGGCCATCTCTGGGGACTTAACAGCAAACTGACAGTTGTGACACCCAGCATCACTTCTTTTAGCAAGTTCTTTGTACTTGAATGAAGCCAGTATCTTTTGTTCCTGCTTTGTTTTGAAGCTTTTGATATCCAACATTTCTGTGTTGAGGCATCTTCTTCAGGCCTCATCTCTCAGTACAACACAGCTAAATTGCTCTCCCTTGATTTTCTGTGGTCTTCATGAACAGCCTTAAATTGTCTGTGTGGACATCAGTGTAAATAAAAAAGGCAACATTATTTTTTAGTTCTGTGGACATCAGTGTAAATAAAAAAGGCAACATTATTTTTTGGCTCTATAGTTCTGTATTTATAGCTTAAACTGGACCTGTTATGGTTTTATTTCTGGTACTTAGGGGTCTGTATAAGAACATAGTCTCTTTTGTTCTAGTGCACTCCTTACTGTCAAAGGATAGGAATGAGGCAAAGCATGAAGAATTCAGTCATAATCAAATGAGTCCATAGATGGGCAGAGGCAGCCTTTATTGTAAGGTGTGGGGGGAAGCTGTCATTTATTAGTTCTATATTGAGAAACCTACAGAAAAAAATGTTCCAACTGCTTCTAGCTTCTAGCATTGTTTTAAGCATACTTCAGGTATTTCAAGTTTAGTTTGAGTTACTTGACAGCATGCTGTTTAAAAACAACCTTTTTTTGGTAGATATTAAATAGTTTCTTGAAGTAGTTGTCCTGAGAAAACAAATACCAGTACAGCTTGTCATTAGTTAGATACTGTGAATGATTTGCTAGCGTTACGTCGCTATGCTTCATTACTTTTTCCTTCCATCTGTGCCAAAAATTGATAATTGTTCTTAGGAATGCTTCAGTAGGGACACTGTCGCTGGCTTGCACTAGTAAGAGATTTTCTTTCTTGTAGAAAATGTATTATGCTCTTTTAATTAGTATAGTTACTGTTGTATTTCTAATATTATCAAAATTGTCATACAGAAGTATCATTCTAAGTAAATTTTAAGCTGCACTTGACAAAAGTGCATCTTTTTAAGTATACTTGATAGGTCATGAATGTTTGTCATCTGTATTTGACCTCTAAATCAAAACTATTCTCTCTCTGTTCTGTCAATAAATACTACCAAATTTTTACCCTTAAATTGTACCTGTCATGGTTTTGTTTCCGGTAATTATGAGAGTTGTGAAAGAAAATAGCCCCTTTTGTTTCAGAAACTCATCACTGTCAAAGGATAGGAATGAGACAAAGGCCGAAGAAGTTAGTCATAACCAAATGAGCACCATAGATGGGCAGGCATCTAAGCTTTTGATTCAAAGAGTTGTTGAATAACAAACATATACACTTCAGAAAAATAGTTGCCTTTTAAATAATGCTGTAAAAATTAGAATTTAAAAAAAATGAGATTTGCAAAAAAGCAAGATGGAGTGGGGGTTTCTGGAACACAGCTCAGAATAATAACCATTGAAATGTTTAATTTCAAATTACTGAACTTAGTGAATTTCTAAATATCTGTTGACTTTTTTTACTGTGTTGAAAAAGAAAAAGTTTTAGAGATTAGCAGTATTTTGGCAAGGTTATTAATAGAAAATGTTATTACTAACTTTTTCTTTTTTGTGTAATAACTGACTGTTTTATAATATGCATGTTTATGCTTACATTTTGAAGGTGCAGCAGTTCATTGATTTGTAGACATGTTTAGCCTGTCATTGCTTTGTAATAATCCAAATTAACTGATAAATGTGTTGTATTTCTGAGCTTGCGAATTCATGTGAATATCTTCAATTTTTTTGTATTTGAATTTTCAGTATTTTAGAAGTTTTATGAGTAATTCTTTTGGAACTGTATTTGTATGATGTATAAGAGTTTAACACCATACTCTACAACAAATGGATGTTTTAAAATTGTATGCTTAATAGAGTTCAAAAACTAACATAATTAACTTAAACCTGAGTAATTCTTGACAAACTTTAATGTGTGTTTTTATAATGTGCTATTTCTCCAAACATAGTTAATGCTAATGTTGTTGTCTTGTGTGTATTCCTTGTTGTCTTTCCTCCAGCCTGGCTTGCCTGCTCAGAACTTCTCGATGTCGGTTACAGTTCCAGTGTCCAATCCCAACACTTTAACCTACAGTAACCCAGGGAGTTCCCTTGTGTCCCCATCACTGGCAGCCAGTTCATCGTTAACGGACACGACCATGCTCTCCCCACCTCAGACCACCCTGCATCGGAACGTATCACCTGGGGCCCCTCAGAGACCACCGAGTACTGGCAACGCAGGTAAGATTTCAGTACTGTTGTGCTTTCCTTTTATACCCTCTTTTTATTTTTTTATTAAAAAAACCCCACAAACAACAACAAAAAAGTAACAAGTTCTTAATGGTATTGGTGCATTTTCTTTTTTTTTAATGGCTTAAGTTTTGAAGTACAAAGTGATATGATAATGTAATGAGAGCAAGTTAGTTTAATGCTCTCACCTATTTTTATTAGGTGGAATGCTGGGGACAACTGACCTCACGGTGCCAAATGGAGCTGGTACCAGTCCAGTTGGTAAGTGTGGTATCATGTCTTTGTTGAAAAAATAGTATTGTGGTTTTAGTTTCACAGGTACTCAAAAGCAATTTTTTATTTTGACTCTTTTGAAAAAGTGGTTGTGGAAGAACAAAGGTCATAATTTTCTTAGTTGCCTTGTAATTGTCAATTCTTGTAAATTCTTCTCAGGCATTTAACTTTTTACTGCTGTGCCCTTTCCACTTCGGTAATATTTGCATTTTTTTATTGCAGTGGTTTTTAGTAGTAGCATGCTGCTCTTGCTTTTGTGTTTCTCTACAGGTGTAATTACAGCACTCTAAAGAGATCTTAATGTTCATGAAGTTTCTTGCTTTGTATGAAATTCACTGCACTTACTAAACTATTACACTAAAGACAACAGCTTTGTTGTCAACTTGAGTATTCACAAGACCCGGATGTTTGATACTGGTTGTGGTGCTAATCAAAATGAAGAAAATACAGACTGTATTGTTTGTATTGCCATGTGTATCTTGCTAATTATTTTGTAGCAGTTATACAAAGGCGGCAATAAATCTTGGAAGCTGATAGCTAGGTTCTGTCTTAATTTTGGAATATGATCAGAATTTCTTTCAAAAACAAATTCGAGATCTTGCCAAAAATCAAATTCACGGTATTTTATGGTCTTCAGTACAAAGATGTGATAGCATTTTTTCATTTAAATAGTATTTTGTCTCCCCTAAACAAAATTTAATACTCTGAATAGAGGGCAGGCAGCCACTGAAATTTATCATGTCACAGAGAGACAAAATAAATGACAGTTCACCCACTTCCTTCATGTTCCTTCCATTCCTTGAGATGTTTTGGTAACTGAAGGTCAATTTTGGAAATACACATAACTCTCCTTGGTATGTGTTCATAGCAAGGAATTAGAGAAGCAACTGGTGACCTTTCAGTATTTGCCCACTGGCTACTTAGTGTGGCAACTGGGAAAAAGTTCTTTGAAGAAGTAGTCAGGCAATTGAATTTATGAATAAAAAATGCTGCAACTACAAGGCTGAAAGCACAGGATTGACTTTCCACTCGTCATCCATTCTTTGGCTATGCGCAGCAAAGATATGAAATATTAAAGTGTGGTTTCCATCAGGTAAGCAAGATTTTAAATGGAGGAAACTTCCTCAGTTGAAAAAAGATGACTATTTTTAGAAACTGTGGAGGTCAGATGTTGATTTCTATAGTATTTCTCAAGTCAGACTAAATAAGTTTATTATCAAGCCATTTCAGGCCTCTTTTCCAAAATCTGGCTTTAGTAGTAACAGCAGCCTCAGATTTACGACTACTTCTTTCAATAAGCAAATAAAACAGTTGTTTACAGCACTGGCTATAGAATATTAAACTGTAGAAATACAGCAGCTTGGTGAACATATTTAATGCAGTAAAATGTTTTCCTTCTTGCATTTATTAATAGTTTAATGAAAAGTCAAAATAAATCGCTTATCTCTTACTTTCCAGAACATCGCACCCAAAGCGTTATACATACTCACTTCTAGAAAGATTTTTTTTTTTTTCTTTATACAAGTAAGAGTTGTGGCTATACAAGAACAGTGGAACATCTGTAAGAAGTACCTCTAGCAAAACTCAAAATACCTAGTTAACACCAGAATGCTAAGCCACAGAGTACCCTAAGTTGTCAGAGCTCTGCTTTCTACTAGGATACGATTCTTTTAAATACTGTCAGGTGCACAGTAACCTTCTCAAGTGCAACCAAAATCAAGAAACCATACGTAACCAGATTGAATAAATCTGCTAACTTGTCAATTTGAGCTTGACAGCTGCCGTTGAAGTGTGTATATCAAGTTAATTATGTCTGCAGAGAGCAATGGTTTCAGTTTCTTGCTGCATTTATTGTAGAATTCACTTTAAAAAAATGTATTTTCTTCTTTTAGCTTTCAATCTTTTCCTTTAAACTTCTCAGGAATGGAGAATTCTCCTATATGGATATAGTTAGGAAAGGTCGTGTGTCGAATTTACAGCTCACGATTTATAGGAGAGATGTCAAAGATAAAGATGGAGTGCTGGCATACCCATATTCCCAGATATTCTCTTATAGACAAAGGAAAAGCCCAAGTCTTACTTGACATTATGATGTTTTTAGCATTTGAGATTTTGTTCTCATTTAATTGAAATATACACATCTGTCTCTGAGTAAAAAGTAAGTAAATGTTATCTTCCATAGTTGGGACCCAGTTCAAACAAAGACGTTGCATAAAATGGCTCATATTTAGTTCACGAGTCTTTTTCTCAAGTCCTATGTAACTTGATTGGAATAGATATGATTTGCTTTAGCAGTCAATTTGCCAACTTAACAGTTTTTCTGTGGGAAATAACTGAGTAAAAATATCTGCATGTTGTAGCAAAGATTGGTAGGTGGTTTTTTATGTCTAGAACAGAAAATTTTGTGATCATTTTATAATACTTAGAGCTTATTTCACATGCAGCTGTCATAACTCTGAAAAAGCATTTTATTTTGTAATATTTTAATAATTTTACCCACCACATAAAAAACATTTGCTGAAAATTTTTACTTGGCAAGTGTATCAGTTTTGAGAGGGGAAAAACGTCCAGCATTATAACAGTGTTTGCTTTTGAGCTAATTTATTTTTTCTGTTAATTAGATCAAATGTTTTGGAGCTAGAAGTTTCATGATACTGTTTCCCATGGTCAGTGCTAAACCCTGTTCAGTTTGTGATGGGCATCTAATATGCTTCAAGAATCTCATATCACCAGGGTGTGTAGAACTTGCTATTTGTTGTCGACATCATCATGGCTTAAGCACATGCCACATGTCCATATTACTCCTTTGAAAAGCCTGTGGATTCTAATTAGGCAAAGTATAGCCTCACTTGCTCTGAGTACCTGAATATGGGGGAGAGTTTCTTTGACTTTGAACTGGAAGGACTTGATGGATGGATCACCTTCAAATTTGTCATGAGATCTGCTTCACTGTGTTCCAGTAGATTTGGTATTATACCTTGAATCATCTAGAGGTTGCCAATGAAGTGCAATGCCGGTGAAGTTGTCCCGTCCTTGAGGACTCTCAGAGTCAGAAAGGCTCAAAAGAAGTACCACTGTTACCCAATCTCTACTTTTTCTTCCATACCTTTCACATATGGCATTGAGCTAGAACCATGCAAAGGACCTGAGCTGCTGTTCATTGTCGAGGCTGTGTGAAAATTATAAACCCTGAGACCTTTGAACTAACATGAGTTCCCTAAGTTCTTCCCAGTCCTCGGTGATTTTGAAGTCGTTGTTGGAAGTGGAGGCTTTTTATGATCTCACAAGGACACAATATTATCTGTCTATACATTTCTCTGTCACTGAAGTAGCCCTTCTGATCAATGATGCAGATTATGGACCCAGTTAATCTTCTGGGAAATTATCTTTCCTCTTCCAGTTTTATCATCAGGAGAATGGATAAGAAAGATCTAGTCTTCCTGAGTACTGAATTTTTCCTCTTTGTTCCAGAGCTGTATCTTCTCTAATGTCTTTGCCAATCTTCAGATTCTGAGAATGTGAAATAACTTTAGGAATATTTAATTTCTTTGGAATAGAGCTGAAGGATGTACCTGCTTGAAAAACTGTCTTGTGAGCTATTTGATCTCTGTTAAGAGCCAATCTAGATCATGTGTGATCTTTTATCCTGGCCTCAGGAAGGATTACACAGAGGTGCAGTTGACAGCTTGCACACACCTGTAAACTGCTTGTATAGTGCCGGAAAGGGATAAAGACCGAGAACTGTGAGGCCACACCTGTAAATGGTTCCCTTTGTCTTGAGGGCTTGGCTGGTTGGGAGAAGTTTTTCTGCATGTCTGAGGATAAAAGAATCTTTCAGCTTGGTCTTTCACAAGTCTGAGTCAAGTGGCTAATACGCTGCAATTCTTAAGAGTACACCAGAAGGCATTCAGTAACAAAACAGCTTTCTGTGCATACCTTTCTGTTCCTGTTGTTTTGTTTATTGAATGAGAGACACTCCAATGAGAAGTATCCAACTAACTCTGGAAAAACATACCTCTTGCAGTAATTTTGCTTGAAACTGGATTGACGCTATCAGCCTCTTCCTTAAGAAAAGAAACTTCCTTCTCCCTCCACCCCCACTCTCAAACTCTGCATCATCTGCATCAGCTAAAAAGCTTGGCAGTGTTGTTGTGGAGGACCACCTTAGGAAAGCAGCTGTAAACCTTGAGCATATTCCTGCTTAAGGTTACGCGTTACTGATGGTATTTCTAATCTGCTGTACTTTCTCTTCAGTGTGATGGGGAGTATCTGTCACAGGTAGTCTTTCACTCGACAGAGCTCCTCACTTCCTAGCTTGTGTTGAAAGGGGTTTGACTTAAGGATGTATGTTCAACTGATGCTAAATGCAGTGGACAAAGGTTCTTGCTCTGTAATGTCACCAGTCTTGGCATAATGTTTTGCCTTGCTCTGATCTTTAAGATTACTCTGGTAAATACAACAGTCAGTGTTTCATGCTTCTCCAAGAAAAGCTGAAGGATCCCTGAAGAGCACTGAGGGCAGCCTATTTACTCTTCCAGCTTCCAAGTTCTCCTGAAGGAAAAGGAGTACTGAAAGGGGACTGCAGACCAGCTGTTTCACAGGGTGCAAGCTGAACCCTTTTCCTTTGCTAGACATTACCAGCACGTAATAAAGTCTGATCCATCCGTCATCCTCTGATTAGATGAGCTCACAAGAAATGACTGGCTGAAATCAGTATGAAAAACATGCTGGTAGAAGAAAGCATTTGAGGTTTTCTTTGGTGTTGGTTTTTTGTTTGTTTGCTTGTTTTTTGTTGATTTTTTTGTTTGTTTGTGTCAGTTTTTTTTTAAATTGTAGCAAACTCTCTTTGGAAACTACCCATCCGCATGTGGTCAGTTCAGCCCCTGAACTACCCTTAGATTTTAGTTGAAATTTTATATATTGTTATGTGTGTTCATTATCTTACCATAATTTCTGATTTACTAAGAGGTACAAGACACTTCTGGTTA